TACGTATACTTTCTTACTACTGTAATTTTAAGGTAAAGCTGTAATAATTTTACAATAAAAATAGAGAACAATATCTGGTCTTACATATGTCTAGTATTGGTTCTTTTCATTCTCCTCTTGTGTGGGGTCTCATGATCTATAATTTAGATGCTTCTATCAACCTCTCAACACCTAGCGTCTCCTGGCTATCTTGTTATTGCCATCAGATTTTCTTAAATATCATTTTCCTCCTGTCAATCAAAAACCATCCCCACACACTAGAAAAGGCAAGGCAGGTCTGTGTGGATAAGGGCACTAATCCCATTGCTGTATCTCCAAAGCCTCACTTCTTTATACAATTATGTTGGTGATTACGTTTCTATCTATAACATAAACTTTCAGACTACACCTTTTGACCTCCTTTTTCTGCATTTCCCCACCAGTCCGGTAGTAGTATTCTTCACATGGTTACTTGTAAAAACAAAGACAAAATTAATATTTAAAATTTCAGTACAAAAGATCTACTCTTTTAATGGCTGAAAATGTGCTATATCTACCAGCCTAATTTTGCGTTTAATGGTAACAATGGTCATCCCCCAAAAGAAACACAAACTCACTTTTTTCCAGTTTACTTGCTTGCTCGGACCTGTATTCCCATCCTATTATAGTCTAACAGATCACTCCAAATTGCAGTGGCTTAAATCAATAACCATTTATTTTTGTTCCCGTACCTGTGAGTCAGCTGGGCATCTCTTCTCATCTTGGCTAGATTTACTTTATGTCTGCTGTCGTCAGTGGGTAAGGTAGGAAACTGATCTTTGCTGGGCTTTCTCACACATTTTGGAGTTTTCTGACATAGTCAGGGTCCCATCCACATGGTCTTTTCTTCTCCAACAAGTTAGGCTGGGTGTGTTCTCATGACATGGCAGAGATTTAAAAGGGTGAGATGTGTACAAGGTCTCTCAGGGCCTGTACATAGAACTGGCACACCATCACATCTACTCTATTCTATTGGTCAAAGCAAGTCATACCATAATCCCAGATTAAATGTGTGGGGAAATAAACTCTTTGTATGTGTGTGTGTATGTGTGATGCTGGAGATTAAACCCAGGGCCTCCATATGGCACTAAATCCCCAACCCTTTTTCATTTTTTAAATTTTGAGATAGCATCTCACTAAGTCACTAAGTTAGCTAGGCAGGGAACTTGTGATCTTCCTTCCCAGAGTGCTGGGATTACAAGTGTGTGCCACTATGCCTCGCAAACTCCACCTTTTAGTGAGAAGAATTGCAAAGGCACATTGCAGCAAGTGTGGTTATGGGAATCCATTTATGGTGTCCATCATTGTAGCTAAACTTACTGCAGTTTACCCTCTGCCTCCAGTTATCCTCATCCATCCCATGTACAAAATACACACTCCCCCTCCCAGAAGTCAACCTGCCTTTTATATACCAAATATTTGATGATAAAAGAAGAACAGCAGTCAGCCTTCACATTCAAAAAGAAGAAAGCAAGTAGTCTGTAATAATTAAAAAGTTTCAGAATAAGGGTTTTCAGAGAAAAATATGTTTCCTCATTATAATCCAGTTCTAATTGCTGTAAATGGCACTATATATTGTTCTCCATGGATCTTGGCTCTGTGCTTTGAGAATATACCATATATATATATAATTTTTTTTTTAAATTTTCCACTGTCTTGGGCATTTCCAGGGAAGGCTTTGGAAGGTAAGCCCTTTGTGCACTCTCGCAGCCTGCTCCCTGTTCATAGATAGCTGGAGGGCAAGAGGCATTTTTGCATTTTAAATTCCTCAGTTCCTGCTCAAAGAGAAAGAATGACTGAGATGAAAGAAAAGAGAAAAGAAAGAAGGGAAAATGTGAATATACACACACACACACACACACAAGATAGCTAAGGTAATTGTACTACTAATTTCTATTGCTTTGGTGAAAGGAACACATAATGTTTAATTGTTTGATCAATCTTATATGCCTATTTTATTTTTCTGAGCAACCAGTTTAAAGATTACAATATGTAATACAACCATTGTTAATTTTCTATCACCTTGTCTGAAATTCTGTATTGCTTTTATTGTTTTTATATAGTTTTATTCATGTCTGTGTTTGTTAATATGTCTTGGTTCTTTTATCTTTAAAATAAAACAAAATAAAGTGAATTCCTCAGTTCCTTCCATTCTAGGTTGGAAACATTTTTATTGACGCATTGCTCAATATTTTTGTGAGATTTCTCTGAATCTGTATCTACATCAGACAAAGATACACCCACAAATATTTTGAGACAAGCTTTCTCTACAAATGTAATTTATTTTTGCATTTACATTGAGCAGGTCATCTGTTCTGCACAAACATCTTAATTCCTGCAAGCCCTATTGTCTGTCTGCTGCTAGGTACTGTAATACTTTCAGAGGTATTAACATGGTGTCTTTTTTTTTTTGGTAATGGGAATTGAACTCACGACCTTGAACTTGCGAGGCAGGCGCTGTGCCACTAAGCTATATCCCTGGTCAACATGGTGTCTTACAGTTGCAATTTTAACTATCTATATAAACATACTTTGTGTTTTTAGCAATGTTCTTTTTTCAATTTTAAAGAAGAAAGAAAACCTGACAAAACAACAGCAATGAAGACAAAAGCAAAACAACAAAAATGATACATGACCTCAAAACAAAATGATAGGAATTAACAATGATTGCTACACTACATACTGTTATCTTCAATGCAGTTGCTCAGTTCACCAAACATAAGAATGTAAGATTGATCAAACAATCAAAGACAGTAACAAGTAATAAAAAAACTGCCATTATTATGCCATTAATATGGAAAAACTCTGGTTTTTCCAGTTACTTCACTACATATAAAACAGGTTGCTACATTACAGTAACAGTTTTCTCAGAAGATTTTAGATTTGTTGTTAGTTTTCTAGCCTCTGCCTGCTACCCAGTCCCAAAGACAATGCCATATAATTTATTTTATTTTTTATCAACATGTATTAATTTGACATATTAATGGCATTCAGTGTGATATTGCAGTGCTTGCATACAACATGCACTGATCAAATCCAGTTTCCCTTTATTCCCCCCTCTATCTCCTTCACAAACTCTGAGAATCACTATTCTACATTCGGGTTGGGTTTTGTATTTTATAACTTCTATTTAGGAGAGACAACTTATGATACATGTCTTTCCATGTCTGGCTTACGTCGTTTACAAAATGTCTTCCAGGTTCATCCATTTTGCTGCAAATTAAAGGATTTCATTCTTCTTTATGGCCTAAAAGAAACTCACCTCCACATTAAAGGCACACACAGAATGAAAACTGCAAGAATGGAGAAAGGTAACAGAATGAGCTATTCCTGTTCCACACAATGTAGACTTAAAGATGAGAACTGTAAAAAGACACAAAGTCATTACATAATAAATCCAGGGATCAGTTCAACAAGAAGATATAGCAAGTGTCAATATATATGCACCTAATATTCAAGCACTCAATTTTATAAAACAAAAATTATTAGATCTAAAAAGATAAGATGGAATGCAACAATACTGGGGAACCTTGACATTGCTTTTTTGGTGGATAGATCAGACAAAAATTAACAAGGAAAAATTAGAGTTAATCTATATTACAGAAAAATGGAATGATATTCATTTTAGATTTTAGTCTTGGCAGCAGCCCCACAAATTACCAAATTCTGTAGCAGTTAGCCATTGCTGTATAATAAAGTTCCTTAATCTTAGTGGCATAAATGTACTATTTATTACTGAATCCGTGTGGTCTCAGCTGGATGGGCTTTTGTGTCTGCTGTCAGCTGTGTACCAGAGGAGCCTGGGTTCTCCTATTTCAGACAAGGTGATAGAAAATTAACAAATTAACAGGAGCCTGGTTGAATCAGCTGGCTCTGGGCTACCTGAGGAATGCCTTAGCTGGGATGACTGGGCTGTGTCCAAGATATTCCCTGGTAGGCTCCTCAAGCATTATTCTTAGGACCTGACAGGGGTCCCAGAGAAGATGTGGAAATGGAAAAGCTTTCTTAATACCTAGGGATGGAACTGGCCCACCATCACTTCTACAACATACTATACTAGTGGGGAAAAAAAGTCATATGGCTAACTCAGATTCAAGTATTGCAGAAACAGACTCTTATTTCCTGTTGGGAGTATCTTCAAAGTCACATTTAAAGGGAATGCCTATTACAGGGACCAGCAAGGCAGCCAATAAGAACATAAAGTGCTGCATATGCCTTTCTGAAATCCTAACAGTCTAGTCAGGCCTTGGACATTGTGCTAGGACCTGTACAGGGCGTGTAATTTTTTCTCAGGCTATCATTTCAAATGACCCTCTCCCTGGTCCCTGTCATGGAGCAGGAGAGAGCTTGGCACAAGTTTCATTTGGCCTTAAGCATCGCCTTTTCAGGACTTGATTTTCTGTTGAAGTTTCTTGTTTTAGCCCATAATTTCTCCTTCACCCCCACTACTTTCTTCTTCACTTTCCATGGCCTTTGGTCTTGGGAGAGGGAGGACCTCAGGATGCCGTTCACCTGCTATTACCTGACCTCCTAGTTCTACCTCTGATTACCCTTTTTACATTTGCCTTTGTTTAAAAGTTAATTTACAATAAGTTTGGGATATTTTCCCCAAGTCTGAACACTTTTTAACTTTTAACTTGCAGAGCACTTGAGAAACATCTTGTCTGTAATTCCAGCACTTGAGGAGGCTGAGGCAGGACAAATGCAAATCTGAGTCTAACCTGGGCAAATTAATTACATAGTGAGACCCTTTCTCAAAGGTAATTTCTTTAGAAGGAATATAGATTCAGCTCATGGTGAAGGCCCTAGGTTCAATTCGCAATAGTGGAAAGAAGAAAGAAAGAGGAGAGGAGAAGGAAGAAGGAAGGTGGAGGATGGGAAGAAGGGAAGAAGAAGGAGAAAGAAGAGGAGTAGAAGAGGAAGTGGTGGCATATTTATTTACAGAAAGACTGAATGCTTTTTAATATGCAACCACCACTTACCTTTGTGCTTCGTTGTGTAGCTACAAAAGTCAAAGATTCAAGGCAATACTTTAACATGATGTAGAAGTTAACAGGAAAATATCCTCCCTATGGTTTTTAGCCATGGAATAAAAGTCTGGAAAAAACTGGTTTGTAATTGGCTATTCTGCCGACTTGTATTAGCCCAGTCAGCTACTAACCAGCACATTTCCCTTATTTCTAAAGAAGAAAAAAGCCTAGTACATTTGTTTTATTCCTAAAGGAAAAAAAGAGCATGCATGAGACACAGCAGTTGTTTAATGCTTTAGTTGAATTGTCTCAAGATTTTTATTTTTCCATGTAGAAATTATCTTCATTCTGTAGAATTTTTTTCTGAAATCTTGTTGTTAGAACTAAAAAGAAAACTAAATTCATTTAGAATACATTTGTATAAATCACAATGTTCCAAGGCCATAGCTCTCTTTCAGACTCTGTCTTTAAAAACAAATTTTTACCCAAAAATATGTTTAATATGTTAAAGCAAGTATTCACATTCTTTATAAAAATGCAAACTTTTATTTTTTCCTTTTAATTAAGGGATTTCTTGGCTCCACTTTCATCTTTTCCTAACTCTAAATCTCACACCCTCTTTAATTATCTTTTGGGTCCAACTGATTCCATTTAAGGAAATAGTTGATTAACTCTATTATTACATGGTCTCTATCCCCAAGGAAAATTCCACAATGACCTAACAGTGTCATGGCTTTGGCCATTGGATTTCAACTCAGAAAGTCTCAGATCACCATCCTATCTTTCATTTTTATCAGCATTTTGTCTCATATCTGATTATTGTAGTAGTATAGTTCTTCCAACCAGTCTCACTTCTGATACTCACTGCAGAATTTTGTGTAGGTTATGAAGTTATGGTATCTGATCACATACAAAAGTACTCCTGCATACACACACTAGCACATGCACATAGTATGAATTGATATTGTATTGGTCTACTTCTGTTGCTATGTAGAAATAACTGAATTTGGGTACTTTATACAGAAATAAAAGTTTTATTTTGCTTGCAGTTTATGAGGTCTGAAGCTGTAGTGCCAGCATCTACTTGGTTCTGGTGTGGGCCTTCTGGTTATATCAGAAAATGATGAGTGGCTTTGTGCTGGGAGCACATATGAAAGGAAAAGATCACATAGAAGGATAAGAAACAAGAGGCTGGGAAAACACAGGAATACTTTTTTTATATATAACAACCATTCTCACGGAACCAGCTCACTTCACAAGCCCCAACTCATTCCATAATACAAGCATCAGTTTTTTCATGAGAGTAGCGTCCTCAATGGCTTAATTATCTTCAACTGGGCCCTGCTTTTCCAAATTTCCACCAGCTCAATGGTACCACAATGAGAACACATGAAGAGTGTTCTGTGGAGTGAAGCTTCTGTGGAGTTTCAGTTTTTCAGCTTCTCTAGTCTGTGGAGAACACATTCAAACCAAATCCAGATCATAGCAGATATGGTCCTGATGAGTTTATTCAGGAGTACAAAATCTTATTGGAAGCAAGGTCGACATTCAAATTACTGTCATATACAGCAATATCAATTCAGCTTCCTTCAGTCCTGCGAGTCTTTGTAGGGGTAAACTGCCATTGATATCATGCATATAGCAAAGAATCATGACAGATATGGGAGTCTGAATCATTCCTAATTTATCTTCTTCCATTCTCAGTAATTATATCACCATTTGAGAAGAGTACTGTTATGGTATTTATTTTGTCACCACAAAATTTGTTGAAGTCTTAAAGCCCAGTACCTCTGAATGTGACTGTCTTTGGAGATAAATATTTTAAAGATGCAGTTAAGTGAAAATGAGGCATGACTGGGCCAATATCTAATATGATTTGTGCTTTTAAGAGATTAGGATATACAGAGAGACACCAAGGGTGTGTATACATAAAGAAAAATCATTGAGAACACAGTACAAAAATAAGCTGTCTCTGAACAAAAAAGGGAAACCTCAGAAGAAACAAAACCTGCCCACCTGAGGCTCATAATTGTAGCTTCCAGAATTTTGAGAAGATGAATTTCTGTTGTTTTAGCTACACAGTTGTGGCATTTTGTGAGAGCAGTCCTAGAAAATTAAGAAAAGTGTAGAAAATTAATTTATGTACTTTCATTAGAGATCATATTTTCAAATAGAATCCACAAATTTTTGAAAAGTTTCTCTGCTCTTATGTGACAGCTTTCTGGTATACCAAAAATGTATTTTTCTTCAGTAGTATTTTAGGTTCAAAATCCTTTCCACTCAGTATTCCATAAACATTACACCAATGTCTAATAGCATCTTCCATTGTGGATGGAGAATTCGATGTTAGCCAATACAGGTAACCTTTTATACCTTTTCTCTGAATTTACATGATTTTCTCTTTATCGTTATAATTTACAAAAGCATGTATGTCTTCGTTACTTTTTCATTGCTGATACATAATACACAATACCCACAATTTAAAGGAGGAAAGGTTTATTTGGTTCACAGTTTGTAGAGGAAATAACAGGTAGAGATGGCCTAGAATGCTGTCAGCTGAATTTGATGGGGGATTGTGATTAGAGTTCGGAAGGACACAATGCTGACAAGAATGTGGAGAGTAAGTGCCATACTCCTAGGTTTCAGATGGGAATGAGGACTATGATAGAAACTTGACTAGAGGCTCTGTGTGTTTCATACCAACAAAGAAGTTGTTTACATTTGGTCCATGTCCTGAGACTTTATATGAGGCTGAATTGAAGGTGGTGGAGTAAATGATCTAACTGGTGGAGGAATTTAAGGCATCCTAAAGTTAAAGCATTGAGGTGGATAATTTTGGTGCTTTTAGCCAGATCTACAAGGAGAAGCATGAGAAAAAAAGCAGAACTAAATTATTTGCAAAGTTTTCAGCTTCTTCAGAATGGAAACACCTAGAGTGTTGGGGCAAAAGTAAGCATGGTTCCTGGAAATACTAGTGTTAAGGAAAACAAATCTACAGAAAAACCTTTGCATTAGAACAATAGGGAAGATGCCATAAAAGCCTCTCAGAAGTTTGCCAGAATCCACTCTAGCATGCTCAAAGAGGTCAAAGTGTAAACTCCTGCAAAAGACTTTGTTTTGAGAAGACAGCCCCTGGACACCCCATTCATTTAGAGTCCCACAGGGAATATTTTCCATGATTTCAGCTTTGCAGTTTCTCAGAAGCCAGTGCAGCCAGGATCCAGGGTTGTTAAGCAAATGCTCAAAATGGCAGCAAACCTTGCCATAATACACAGTGCTGGCTTTTCAGGCATGCAGAACACGGGAGCTGTGGGGTCTTGGAGGATTTCACCCCATATTCCAGAGAAAGGACTGGGAGGCCACGCAAAGTGCACCTGAGGGAACAGTGTGTGAAGCTGCAAGAGTGAAGCTGAAGGTCCAATGGGGATCCAAGGTAGCTGGAATGTCAAGAATGTGGGACATTGGCTGAGGAAAACCACAAACAGTGAGTAGAGTCGGCCTGAGAGAGGCCATAGGGAATGTAACCAGCAGTGTCAAGGATGTCCAAGCCCTTTGGAGTCCACATCTCACCACGACTTGCCCGAGTACTGGACTGGGAGCTAAGGACTTAATGATTGTCTGGCTGGGTTTCAGTTTTGCTTTGGCGCAATTCCTTTCTATCCCCTATTCCTCCAATTGGGGATGAGAATCTATACCTTTCATTTTATGTTAAAAGTATTTAACTTTCTTTTTTATTTTTATATAGGCCCACATTTAAAAGTTTTGCCTTCAGTCTCAAAAGAGGCTTTGGACTTAGAGTTTCCAGCAGTAATGGAACTATTAAAATTCTGGCAATTCTCAAATTGGACTAAATGAATTTTACATAGTGTGATTAACATGAGCCTTTGGGGGCCAGGGGCAGAATGTTGTGGTTTAAAGCTAAATTGTCCAACAAAAGGCTCTTGTGCTTGAAGATGAAGCCTGGTTAGAAGAGGAGGGTGATTGGATCATGACCCGGAAGGGTGTATTCTCCCTGGCTGCTCTCAACTCTCTCTGTTTCCTGGATTCCATGGATTGAACAGCTATCCACCCTATGCCCTTTCTCCATGACATTTATGTTTTACGGCCAGCCTACCATGGAGTGAACTCACTGAAACTGTAAGACAAAATAAATCTCTTTCCTGTAAATTGCAGATAAGTGTGCTGAACATTTGGTGATTATATCTACAATTGTTACTTCTTCCTGGTGAATCATTTCCTTTATCAGTATGTAGTGGCCTTCTTTGTTTCTTGTGACTAATTTTAGTTTGCATTCTACTTTGTCAGATATAAGTATAGCTACTTCTACTTGCTCCAGCTGCTTGAAGTACCACTTTTCATTCTTTGATTTTCAGTCTGCATATGTTTTTGCAGTTAAGGTATATATATTTTTCAGGCAACATATACATGGATCTTAGTATTTGGTTCAATCTGCAAATCTGGGTCGTTTAATTGTAGAATTAAGCCCAGCTGTATGAAGGTATGTACTAATTCTCATCATTTTGTTGTTTATTCCAGTATTTGATTCATTTCTGATTCTCATTTGTTTATCTACTGTCCTGATGAAATTTAGTCTTTCTCCTGACTTAGTGGTTGTGGTTGTCTTTCTCATTTGTGTTTAAGATACCTTTTAATATTTTCTGCAGTGATGGCTTAGGGATCATGAATTTCTTTACTTAATGTTTATAATGAAAGGTGTTTATTTTTCCTTTGATTTTGAAGTATATCCTTGCAGGGTATAGTAATTTAGCTTGGCAGTTATTTTCTTTCAGGCCTTAAATACTACATGTTAAGATATCCTGCCTTTAAAGATCCTATTGAAAAATATGTTGTTATTCTGATGATTTTATCCTTGTTTTTGGCTTTTTGAGACAGGGTCTCACTATGTAGCTCAGGCTGGCCTTGAGCTCATTTTGTAGCCCAGGCTGGTCTCGAACTCACAACAATCCTCCTGCCTCAGCCTCCTGAGTGCTGGGATTATAGGCGTGTGCCACAACGCTCGGCTCTGAAGAGTTTGTCCTTATAAGTGATATGATGTTTCTTTCTAAGAGCTTTTAAATATCTTTTCTTTGTTCTGAATTTTAGGCATCTTGAGTGTGTTGTGTCGTAGAGTTTTTACTATGATGTTCTTTTCTGGAAGTGTCTATTTCAAGTTCAAAATGGCTCCTTTACTTGGATATCCATGCCATTCTCCAGATTTGGGAACATATTTTTCAATAATTTCAGTGAAAGAGTGGGATTTCTATGACATTAGTATTTTCTTGCCCTCTTTAAGGACAAAAGGAGTCTTAAATTTGTCTTTTAGAGTTATCCAAGACTGTTTGCCTAATTTACTTGCTGTTTCTTGGGGTTTTTTTGTTCCTTATTTCTTTCCAAATGTTATACTACATGTACCTTCTTTTGAAGTCCTAATATTCTTTCTTCTGATTCCCTGTTCCTACTGCCAAGACTTTCAATTGAGTTTTTAAAAATTTGTCTAATTAACATTTTCATTTCCAGGATTTCTGCTGTTTTGTTTCCAAATATCTATCTCCTTTTACTGATCTTTTACTTCCTGCATTCTCTTTAATTCATTCATCTACTTGTCTCTTCTTGGATATTACTGATGATTTTCTCCATAAATTTTTCAAATTACCTTTCTGGAATTTCACTCAATTCATCATCTATGGGATAAACTTTTGGAGAGTTACGAATTTTTGAAGGCACCTTATTGCCTTGTTTTCTCATGATTCTTGTATTTTTGTGTTGAGGTTTGCAGATCAAGATGGATAGATACCTTTACCACTATCATGTGAGGGTCTTTTGATTAAGTGGTTTTCTCTTTGTGATGTGTCTTGAGATGTGGACACCCATTCAGTCACTTTTGAATGATAGTGCTGCTTTGAGAAGGAAGAGTAACATTAACAATTTGGAAGTGCACCATAAATTATCTTACAGTTAAATACTTATGTAAAAAAAATCTCAACTATTTCACTAACCCAGGAAAATAGACAAACAATAATGATATACAATAATTTAGAGAAAATGAAACATTAATTATATTATATTAAGATTAATACTAATAATATATGTAAAATAAAGTAAAAAGAGAGAAAGAACAGAGAGATAGAGAAAGGTATGAAAAAATATATTAAAAAAAAGGAAAGTAGTGGACCCTCTGATTACAACTGGCCTCACAACTGGCCTCACATATAAACAACTTGGTTTATGACTGAAATTTTACATTTAACTTACAAACAAAGTCTTGAGTTATGCCCCAAATGCTAGCCACTTGTGCTGTTGTAAACAAAGACTTGTGATGCCAGAAAAGTATTCAGAAGTATATGTCAGTGTAGCCTAGATGCATGTGTTTGTGGACATGATTTTGGTCATAGTTTTATATATTCACTCTGATTACTTTTTTCAAAATGGCCTCAGAAAGCTACAAAAGAAGATAAGAAAGGAAGGGAAGGTAAAGAAAGCAATCACAATGAAAAAGAAGAAGGAAATTATGGAGAAATATGAGAGTGGTGTTCATATGACAAATCTCGCTCATATGTACAGCACGTTGAAATACACCATCTCAACACTTTTTTTTTTTTTTTTTTTTTTTTTTTTTGGTTTTTCTCTGGT